CAGGAATTCTACACTCATCAAACATCATCGCACCCACAGAGGAGAGAAACCCCACACGTGTCCCCAGTGCCAGGGGAGCTGAACGACCCTTCAGCTGCTCCGGGTGAGAGAAGAGGTTTTTCCAGCGAGCACATCTCGTCCGTCACAGCTGGACCCACCTCATGGAGCACCAAGGATGAAGGGGCACAAACAAGGTTATTTTCCAAGCTCTGCCCCACCAGTTATGTTTTGTCCAGCCTCTTGTGGAACATGAAATGGCACCAGCTCAGGAACCCCTTCCTGTGCCATCCATCAGTTTAATTTGAATATTTTTAAATAGAAGGCAAAAAAAGTCTATCAGTGTGACACCCTCCTCAAGGAACAAAGAGGACATGCCAGGATATGGAGAAATACCAAGATATGGAGCATTTTATGGTGACTTTCCTGAGGAAAATGAGGAAACAAAGCGGGATTGGGTCATTCTGAGGTGAAAAATGCCTTTTCCTCTAGGATGCTATTTTGTGGAAATTTAGACCCCAAAATCAGTCCAATTTCTAGCTGTGGTGGCTGGAAAACTGGGGAGAGGTTCAGGATAACCTGAGGTCTGGTAACAATTAGGGTTATTTTTATAAATATAATTCTCAATACAATGATATAAAAAAGTGACAGATAGATCCCATGTTCTTGGGGCGCAAAGGGTAGAGAATCCTTTGGGTGCTGGAAGGTTGGGACCCCTTCCCCAGAATACCCCCTTGTCCCACCCTGGGGTGCAGTGATGCACCAGCCCATGAGGATCATAGTGGATCCCCCATTGAAGTTCCTTCTCAGAGGGTCTGGATGTGGCTGGAGCCCCTCTTAGTCCCAGACTTAGTCCATGGTTCCTCACCCCTGGGATACTGATGGCCTGGATGGAATTACATGTTCCCAGGGTGGCTGAAAAACCTGGGCCAGATCACAGAGAGGTCACACCTTGAGAACATCTGCCTTTACCCCACTCCATGAGTGTGGAAGGGCACAAAAGAGGCATCAGAGAGTGAAAATGGCCAACATGGTGTGAGGGACCAGCCCTCCGGACATACTTTGGGAAATGGTATTGAAACCCTGTTGTAGCCCCTGCTCATATGCATCCCAAAAGGCCTGCTTGGAAGGATGGAAACTGCAAGAATGACCTGAATATGGCCTGGGCCCTGCATAGATGAGATAACGACAATGATCAAGGGGTAGGTCCACTCCAGCTGCTCACACATGTATGGCTCAATCACACTAGGCCTATAAAACAGGGGGCTGCAAGGGTGGGTTTGGGGAGTTTCATCTACACGGACCATGGACACCAACCCTCCCCCGTTGGCTGGACCAACGACGCCGGATACAGGAGGGGTGATTTTCCTCTCCTCTTTATCTCTCTTTATCCCTCTCTTTCTGCCCCCCACCTTCCTCTCACCTTTTCTTCTCATCCCCTTTTCCTTAATTTATATACGCGGGTGCTTTTGTTTAGGTTGCTCAGTATTAACTCCTGCTAGTGTAATAAATGTGTTGTTTGTTACAGACAGACCTTGTGTGTCACTGCACCTTGACCTGATCGAGGGGGATTGGACGGTCGAGCTTTTGCTTGGACCATGATCCATTAACTCTCTCTGGGAAAAGATCAGGTCTGAGAGAAGGATCTTGAGCCCAGCCACACCTGGCTCCTCTCTGAAGGAAGTCTAGAAAGCAAAGGGGTTCGGTCCTAATCTCCCTGGGCTGCCCAGTCTGAGCTGTGACACTACAGGACTGGATCCAGCTCCTCTATTGCAGCAGGAGCTTAGAAAGCAAGAGGGTCCAGTTCTAGCCTTTCTGGGTTATTAAATCTGTGTCAGACCCCACCCCCCAAGTGTGGAGGGGCACAAAAGAAGCAGCGGAGGGTGAAAATTACCAACATGACCCATTTTGAGTCTTTGCAGGTCAATGACATTGTGGGAATTTGGGAGGAGACGTGGAAAGGGAAGGTTGGATCTCACAACAGCACATCTTCTGTCTTAGCTCTCTGTTTTGAATATTGGCATGATGGGAGTTGGGGATTCCTTCCGTGTGGTGGGTTATGGAGGGCCACCACTGTCACCAGGCCTTCTTCTCACTTGGGGTCACCCCATCACATTGTCCTGATTTTAAGGCCAGGACTCAAACTGTGGGGCAGGCAGGTGGAGGGAGGGATGGACAAGAAGGTGCTGTGGCCATGTCCCATGTGGAAGACCTTCCCTGTCCACTCCACACTATCTCAGCATGTTCCCATTGCCCCCACAGCCACGTGATGGAGAAACCAGACACTCCCCCCCACCTGTTGTGCAGCATCTGGGTGAGGTGGCATCTGTTGACACTCAAACCAACACCGTGTACAGCAGCTACTGAAGGTACCAGTAGATACAGAATGGGCAGAGATGTTTAATGTCCACCCTTGTCTCTGCCTTCTCCAGGAATGTCTTCTAGACTTGTGTACCTTGAGGTAGAACCCAAGGAGAAAAAACATGAAGGGATGTGTCTGAGAAGAACAATCAGGGGAAGGCCTTGCTGATGTCAAGGTGTTGCCAGGTGGCTGATACAGTGAGGCCATTCTGAACCATGTCTGAAGACCACAGAGACTGGGAGATCTTCCTGATGAGCAGAACAGAGCCAGCGTTGCCGTAAGATTCCACAAAGGGCCAAAGGATGGGCTGGAGAACCAGAGGTTGTTCAACCTCCATTTGGGAGACAGAGACTGCGTCCAAAAGAACCCCACCTCTGGATCCCACCCCTGGATCACACCTCTGGATCCTCTGGATGCTAAGCCTCTGTCCCCCCTATGCATCCCCCAGTGTCCCCAGAGCACCCTTGCTGCTCCCAGTGCCCTATATGAGGTTATGGGGCGCTATGTGGTGGCCAGAGATGTCCCAGGTGCTCCTGTCACTCCAGTGTCCCTCTGTGCACCCCTCAATGCCTCCCACCCCCATGTCCCCCACAACCACTGAGCTCTGCCTTCACCACTGATCTCATTCGTGAGGTCACTTCCCCTCAAGGTCAGGTGTGATGCCACACAGGTGTGGCCAGCTCCTCCTCCAGCCTGTTTTAGCAAAGGGGAGGTGGGACAGATCCCACCATCCCCAGGACATCCTGGTGGCCCCACGGTGACTCTTGGGCCACCCCTGGAGACACCACAGGACTGCTCCAAGACACCCCCCCCAGGTGACATGGGGACAACCTGGCTGTGGCAATGACCTCTTGAGAGATCCCACCTGGTAGCAACCCTGGTGCCTCCCCTGGTGCCCCCAGCCCCATCTGAGACCCCTCAGAGTTCATCCAGGACCAGCCCCCCCTGAGTCCTACCTTGTCCCTTCCACCCCTGCTGCCTGGGTCCCTTCCCAGAGAGAAAGACACAAGTGCCACCAGCCCTGTGGGATCCTAAGTGATTGTGTTTGTCCTCTGTCCCTCTTTGGTGGGGGATGGAGCAGGTGGGGCCACCACGAGGGCACAGAGGGAAGAGC